TTTTAAATGGTACCCCTAAGTATATGCTCGAGCCTCCGAAAGATCTACTAGTTGAAACTGTAAGTCTTTCCCTTCTTACTTACTGAACCCTTTAGCTTGTAGCCGTTTAAGAATTTTTGACATTGATTTTGTTGATGCATGTGTTAAATCATCAAATGCAGTATTTCCACCCGGATAACATGTCATCTGCGGAGAAGATGAAAATCGAGCTTGCAAAGGTCAGAGAAGAGTTCAAGATGTCAGAATCGGATTGTGGTTCTGCACGTGTTCAAGGTATCTGTTCTAATCAATGTTGGCTTTAGCTATTGAAGATGATATAACATTTCCTCTGGTTAAATTAAGCCAGCTAATTATAGGTCATTGCCTTTGTTATTTTTGAGAACAAAATGTCACAAGTGCTGGTTTAGTGATCTCTGTGGTTTTTCCTTATAGTGGCACAACTGACCACTAAGATCAAGCATCTATCCTCGGTTCTACACAAAAAGGTAAACTTTCAATCTTTTTATCTGGAGCTACCAGCTCCAGTTTTCTACTGTAACCTGATCATGCATCCTTATAACCTTAGGACAAGCATTCGCGGAAAGGACTTATAGCAATGGTGCAGAGACGGAAGAAACTGTTGAAGTATATGAGACGAACGGATTGGGATTCTTACTGCCTTTCACTGTCAAAACTCGGCCTTCGCGACAACCCAGATTACAAGTTTTAAAATTTTTGTGCAAGGGACATCATAGAATTGTGATATCAGTAGTCTCTTTTTGTTCTTTTCATTATGACAAAAGAGATAATGTGGGTCTCTCTTATCAAATCATGTTGGGGAGGAAAGTTGTTCTACTAGAGTTTATTATTGCAGGCTGTTTAGGCGGAAAGAGAATAAAGCTATGGGGTACTTTCGTTGACATTGTCTTTTTTTTTTTTTGGGCAAAACTTAGAATGTGATAGTAAACTTACTCGTCTTACATATCTTTCTCAATGCATCTATCTTTTACTCTGCCACTTTATCTTCTTTAACCTTTAGGTTGGTGAATGTTAAACATGAAAAGTGATCACATACGGTTTAAATTGCAATAATAATGTTCGGAACAGTTAAATTGGAACAGAAACTGAGGTGATTCGGAGAAAGAAGAAGGTTCAAGGAATCGTCAGTAATCTTTCATCAATGGCTTTTGGCCTTTTACCAAATTAGGATTCAAATTTCAAAAGTCAGCGATGGTTTATGAGTAGAGAGAGTGAACCGTTACTTCAACCCGGTTAACATATAACCGGTATAAAGCAATTGAATTTGAAACGACACTTGAAGAATTTATTTCTTCACTGTTTTATTACATCTTCTTCGCCTTCCTCTCCTAA